AGTAATAATAGTCGTTGCTCTTCATAGACCCTGAGGATCATTCATGCTAGTGCTGCTCGAGAGCAAAAGAGAGGAGCGATCGTTGATTGAACAGGACGGTATTATGATTGGTCGTCATTGTACTTTACGGATAAGATTATGATTAGTGGTAGTGAATCATAAAAAGATACCGGTATGATTGATGGTTGATCTTTGTTGGATATCCTTTATGGTTTATGGTTAGTCTTTTTGGATAGCCTTTATGGTTTGTCATGGTTGGTCTTTTTGGATTGCCTTTATGGTTTATGGTTGGTCTTTTTGGATTGCCTTTATGGTTAGTCATGGTTGGTCTTTTTGGATAGCATTTATGGTTAGTCATGGTTAGTCTTTTTGGATAGCCTTTATGGTTAGTCATGGTTAGTCTTTTTGGATAGCCTTTATGGTTAGTCATGGTTAGTCTTTTTGGATAGCCTTTATGGTTTATGGTTAGTCTTTTTGGATAGCCTTTATGGTTTATGGTTAGTCTTTTTGGATAGCCTTTATGGTTAGTCATAGTTAGACTTTTTGGATAGCCTTTATGGTTTATGGTTAGTCTTTTTGGATATCCTTTATGGTTTATGGTTAGTCTTTTTGGATAGCCTTCATGGTTAGTCATGGTTAGTCTTTTTGGATAGCCTTTATGGTTTATGGTTAGTCTTTTTGGATAGCCTTTATGGTTAGTCATGGTTAGTCTTTTTGGATAGCCTTTATGGTTAGTCATGGTTAGTCTTTTTGGATAGCCTTTATGGTTACAGGAATCTCTGACTATTATACCTTAGTAGCAGAGGCGTATTTCTGGGCATTTTCTAAGGGAAGTTATCTAAAAATAATATCCTTTTATATTTGTGATCATCATTTTCAGATAAAAACTTGACAAACAATGAACAATTTTGTTAAAGTATCCTGTAAATCCTAAGAAGAGGTGAAGCAGTTGTTAATTTCCTATTGTACATACATTTAGTTGATAATAAAATATTGTGTATGGAATTTATCTGCAGAGGCTCCTGTTCAGAGTGAGAAAACACTTTTTTTTTAACCATTTATACATCCATAAACATTGTCTTTAAAAAGGAATAGGTCTAACATAATGCCTGACTAGCTGATACACAGGCACAAACACAGACAGAACATGCTGAATCAGAATTAGAATTACCGCCACTTATTCATTCACACTTCAGCTGGTTGTATACATTCAGTGCGCTGCCCTTTCTACACTGATGTCTCACTTCTTACACTGGTATAGCTGCAATAGGGTGTGTCCTATGTTCCTTGGACAGACCGTAACACCACGGGTGTGTGCTGACAGGGTACCTCTCCATGGCACCATCGAGTTTCCTTTCTCCAACATAGATTCACTGTTGGAATGTGTCCGTGTGCTTGTGTGTGCTTCCAGACGGGTCCAACCCATACACCCTGAAACTGTGTTTCTCCACCTCGTCTCATCTATAAGACGTCGCAGAGCACAAGAAGAGCCCGATGATGGCCGACCTTTGACCCGGGAGAGGGAGACGGACTCGTAGACAGGTGCAGCAGAGATGTATGAAAGAAGGAGGAAATGAGTGAGACAAATGTGGAAGGAGATGAAATTGGTGACTTTTTTTAGGGGAGCCAAGACGCTATCACACAAACAGTCATCACCTAATGTCCAATCACAACTCAGCAAGCTGACAGTCAGAAATACTCTAATGACAGACTGAAATAAAAGAAAAGAAAGAATGGAAGACATGAGAAGCAAAAACCAGACAGAAAGACAGAAAGACAGAAAGAAAGACAGGCAGGGACCCACTCTTTTGAATCTACTGTACGAACCTTCATTGCCCACTTCATCAATGGTCCGACCCGTTTAGGAATATACAGGGTGTTGTGTTGAGTTGTGTGCATTTATAACATGTTGGTCACGCTGGGCCCCTTCTCTCCACTGGAGACACCGAACGGCTGATACCCAAACATATGATTCAAACTCTGATGGGCAGGTTGTCAATTACTGAGCACGCTCATTCTTCTCAAAGGACGTTTTGTTTCTTTCCTTCTGGACACTGTGTGATCTTCCATTGGCGCTACAAATATCATTTTACCGTAGGAAATATCTGTCAGGTTGCCGCGGCGGTACCAATTACACGGGCAAATACTGGTGTGTCTGGTAGGGTCCTCTTGCTTTACTGTGACCTCAACTTGTTTACAGATTCTCTATTCAGATCATTAATATCTCATCATCCACTCTCATCCATGTAAAATATGGAGGCGTAACGGTAATGACTCTCTCTGTGTGTTGCTTCTCTTTGTCCACAGTCACTTGACTTCAGTGCATGTTGATGCTTGTGAGTTTGCCTTCTAGTGACAGTTAGTGAGCTTCGCTCTGCCCTGTTCTCATATGACACAAACGCCTCCCTCCAATTACCCTGCTCTTTTTATTGAGTACTTTAATATTTAAATGCTGAAAACGTGATATCAACTCTCAACTGTCATGTGTATATACAATCTTTTTTATTTACATGTTGGGTTGTGGGTCCAAAGTGTTTTTTTCTGAGATGGTGTAAGTATTATATTGCAGGGACTCGTCCTCTTGTCCTCGGTCCTTTGGCAGCATCATTTTGCTTACTTGATGAGGTCACCACTGACACGCGTTGCTTTTTCCACGTTGCAATATACAAGTTTGGTTCTTTTGTCTTTTATGAAAAGGCACAACATTATATTTTTACCTCACATTCGTAAGTAACAGCGGACGGGGGGGAGACCGTCATTCCCAAGCGGGCGCTGCTGCCTGGTGACGCCGTGGTGGGAAAGGTCTAACACAGGGTCCCTACACCCTTTCGGCTCGCAAGCTGCTTTTCACTCAACTTTTCAATCCAAGTCATGGCGATCTGCCCTCCCCCCCCATCCTCCTCTCCCCTCCCCCATCCTCCTCCCCCCCCCCCTCGCTCACAAGGAGCCTCTCGCCTGTCACACCTGACCTGATGTTTTCCCCCAGCGGCAGGTGATCTACCATCACCTGGTCCCCCTGGTCCATCGTGCGCTCACTCACAGAGAGCGACCCCCAGTGGACTTTTTAGGAATAGCAGCTACTTTTATATAAATACAATTTATGTCTTTTTGTAATTCTCACAATAGTAAATTCATCCGGCAAGGCAATTTTCTTTGTATATCACATTTCAACATCAAGGCAATTGAAAGTGCTTCATATAAAACCATCCAAACGTAACGATGTAAAAACGTCATGAACACTGAAACGTAAAATGACGTGTGTGTGTGTGTAGAACCTCCGCCCTTTGCAGCCTGTTAAACACTCGTTCCTTTTGGCCTTTAGCAGTAAATTGAGCATTTTTAAATTGTAAAGGCGTTGAAGCAGCTGTTATTGGTGCGCCGTGTCCAGCCCGACAAAGCGGACATTTGACGGTGATGGATTTTATTTTGTTTCTGCCCATCTATTGTGGAGTTCACAAAGAAACTATTAACAAACAAAGCCAGAAATGCTGCCTAAAATCAGAGTGAATGATTGGACACACTGGCCGCAGATACATTTTATTCCAGTGTGAGAGACAAAAAAGGAAAAAAGGATGTTTTTTTGAGGGGAAATTTCCATTTGAGTAGAGAGGAGAGGAGGAAGGATTTGAGGAAAGGAAGATTACCGGTACAAAGCAACCCTCTATTACTAAAGACTACGTAAACCGGTTCATCCCTGTAATCAACAAACAATGTACTTCCTGTTTTAGTGGCACGCGAATAGTCCTGTAAGATTCCTTTTCCGACGTGCTGGACGGAAGTCATTTGTACAGCGCCTGCGTGGATGTAGTCCAGCAGACCCTTTTAAATGCACCTGAACATCATTGGTCCTAAGGGTTCCACACACGCAACATCTGTACGTGGACGTAGTACCAGGGACTAGCGCTCCAGTTTGGGTATTCATCCAATGCTCACAATGTTCAAACTCAGTGTGTATCCGCTCGTCCTACGTGTACCTTAAAATCAGTGTCACCTCTGGACAAAATCCTTAGGTTCATTTAAAAAATAAATATATTCCTATTTGCACTGCGCATGGAAACTACTGGAATTACATAATATTAAGGTGTCTTATTTTTATAATCTTTTCTTTTGGTGTATTTTGCATAAGATGTGAATAGACAGGCTACCTAGCAGGTGAGAGGACACGCGTCCTGCAGGCCGTCCTCTTGGTGAAGCACAGTCTTTATTGTTCCAATAAAATCACACTTGTGAATTAAGACATGCTTTTGTACACGATTATGTAAATAAGCAAATGACTCCCACTTTGTCTTCAGTTACATTATTGCTCATTTAGATGTAATTTGTACATTCCTTGTGCGATTGAATCTTGGTGTTTATTTATTTCTTTTGAAGTTTTTGAACCTTTAAGGGGGTTTGATTCGTGCCTGTGGTTGTTACTTGATTCTGATGTGAGTTTTTCATCACAGGACTGAGCGTATGACACAAACCCACATGTTGCTGTAAAGGTTTAATGTTGTTAGCAGTCCGTAGTCACTAAATAAATACATAGAACTATGAGTGTTGATTTAATTTAAGAATCTCTGTTGTTGTAAATGAGATGTACATGTCCAGATGTAATAAATGAAGGTTTGCAGCTGTAAGGGCAGCTCAACAGCTCTCTCACTTGTCTTCATTTACAGCCCTACCTCTTTGTTTCTTTCAACTACTTCCAAGGTCACTGGTATCTTTTGACTCTCGCCAACGTATTTATAATGTCAGAATGCTACTTTTCATCAAGGCGGGTTAGAAACGACCAGCACCACTGTCCCCTCTCCCTGTGTGGCACTTAGCAGACTCCATATTATACAGCCAGCATTCGGGTACTGACCAGAACACCGTCCTAACCCGTTCTCCTCCGGCCCACATGTCAGACTACGCTTTGGTTGGACCTCTAATCGGTCGGCTTGAGTTCACATCTCTACTCCAGCTGTTTTGTCCAAGACATATCGCTTATATCGTCAACTTTGGATGTTCCTCAGTAATGTAGACAAGATGCGTCTTCCCGAGCTACATCCACGCCACTACGTTTTATTTTATAAAACAGCCTCTGAAATATTTTAACCTATCATGCTTATTATAAAGTGTGTCTTACTGCAATTAGAGCAAGACAAACATCTATTATTTAGTTGCTATTATGCAAAAAAACATATTACAAACAAAAAATAAAGAGGAAGGCTCCACATTTCCCAGAACCGTAGATCCAAATGTATAACTTGATGTCCTTGTGTCGTAAGACATATTGGGAAAGACTATGGGTGATAAGTGACCTGTATAATAGACACGGCCATGGGATGTAGGATAAGTGAATCCGGGCACAGTTTTAATGAAGAGAAGTGCACAATAAGGAGTGTGTTGTACACATACTACACACACTCTACAGTCTCAACACTGCAACACGGTTCTCTGGAAAACAAGGGATTCCTTGCCTGGCAGACGGAACTCGGGGACGTAATGGTCCACCCGTCGCCTTCTTCTTCGGCGCGCTCGCTCCCGCTCGACCCACGTGCCAGCTCCTCGCTCCCTGATTGGCGGGTTTTGAACAGAGGCGCGTGAGCCCATTGGGCTGTTTTGAACCGCTGCTTCACTGCGGTTGATTCAAAAGAGTCTGTCAGCATTCCAGCGGCAGTCTGTTCACGGAGGGTACATCCGCCACCAAAGGGGAAAGCTGTCAGGTGATTATTATCCCAGTTTGTTCAGCGCCAAATGTGACGCGAGTTATTTGTCAGGTCAGGCGAAAAGCTGCACCGTTCGATGCGGACAGAAGAGCCGGTCGGCTGCCGCTGGAGAAGCGACAGCAGGCGGCGTTAGCATGGACGGTGTAGCATTAGCTCACCTGACGTTGGTGGCCTTTACTCGAATAAACCACGACTGTAGGGGCCGTGTGACGAGTGTGAATCCGCCTCTCGGGCTCCGCCGCTGGCACGTTACGCGGGGCGGACAGCTGATGCTAAAGAGACACGAGCCTCCGTCATCGTAACGTTGCTTTGGCCTCAAACGTTACCGACGTACGCTCACACGGCGTAACGGCACCCCGACGTTAGCTGTGCGTTGTGCGTTAACGCTTCGCTATGTGCGCGATCGCTGTGTTAATGTCACTCGTCAGCTGGAACGTGGCAGTAAAGGATCTTTTTAAAGTGGAGCCGTATTTACACGAAGCTTCTGAATAGTTCGGATCGCTGGTGAAACTGAACTCCTCACATGTCAATTTGTTCTTACAGCAACAATGGAAGACTATCTGAAGATAGAAAAGATTGGAGAAGGTTGGTCTTGTTTTCTTCTTGACAATTTAATCAAGCTGATCCAGCTTCAGAGGGCAACCTGAAGGGTAACCAGGGGTCAGGGGTCAAACAGTAGTGATTCCCTTCATTTTCAGCCTCTTAACTGGCAAGTAAATCGAATTATGCGCCCTAGAAACCAGTACATCGTCATTAGATGAATCCACCACTGTTCTCCAAACTATCTGCATGGACCCACTTCAAAGATCCACTTTAAAAACAGGAGGATAAAGTTTATGCAATATTAACACTTTACGTGCACAAAAACAATGAACCGTGAGAGTAGAACTTGTACATTGTTGAGTAGTAAGAAGACGTGCAACACACAGGCTCTCAGTCTACACATACATGACCAAATACAGTGGAAATGTTCACACATAAGCGTACCGTATATATTAAGCCTGCGCTTAAATATATATATATATATATATATATATATATATATATATATAAAGCGCAGGCTTAATATATATA